CCATTATATGTTATGGCGTATTGTGTAATAAACAAAATAAGCATCTTACTTTTAAAAATATCTTTATAATTACATCACAATTGTTTTTCTTGTATGCGATGGGAATTTAAAGTAGCTCTCAATTCTATTAAGCTTTTCAATAGTCAGTTGAAATTTAAGATTGCTCTTGCCTTAAAAAAATTCTTAAGACTGTTTTTCTTTTCCATTGCTTTCATATATTAAATCTAAAACTTAAAATGAGACAAAAGAAAACGATCTTGTTTTGAAAGCCCGAAGTTATAGACGAATTTATTCAGAGAAAGAGGTGATGGCATTTTTAATTAGTAATCAACGACCTCATATCCTGCTACAGAGATTAATACTGGGACCCCTCTATATCTGTGCTTTGTTCGAAAAATAGCCCATATTAATTTACATCTGCTTTTATACATACGAAATTATATGGATTTCGACTGGAATCGTCTACTACGTTTGCTTTTTAAAGCAGACGATTTTCAAATTAATTGTCTTTATAATCTGAAAGAAAAAAATAAAGAATGATAATAATCCCTGTAGCGCGGCGTCAGAAAAACAAACAAGACAGGACTTTCTAGTTATTTATTTTTATTTTGGTAGCTAAATGATATTTAAAAAAAAGTCATCGATTTTTCGAATTTGTAGTTTCTGCCTTGATTTTGGTCATATTTTCTTCAAATGAGTCACCAGCGGCAGTCTTGTCATTATTCTAAAAAAACTTTTTTTTTAAATTTTTAAATAAAATCCCTTTCAAATATCAATTTATCCGTAAATAAATTAATATGTCCGGATGCTCGAAAAGGTTCCGAAAGTTTTCAAAATCACGACTTTTTAAAATATATTTTTTTCAAGGACTTTTAATATTATTTTAAAAGAAGTTTAATTTCTGTAATTTAAAATAAATTAAAAATAAGAATTAAAATTTATGTATTGCCCAAAAATTTTCTAATTAATTTAAAGATTTAATCTAATTTATTTAATTGTTAGCAGATAACTTTTTATGAATTGTTTGCAGATAGCATGAAGTTAAAAGATAATCTTGCTTTAATTTTTGTAACTTAAGGTAAATTAAATACGAAAATAAGAATATTTTACTTTGTTTACTGCCCAACACTTTTTTTATTAATTTAAAGATTTATCACAAGTATTTTTCGTGAATAAGTTAAAAACCAAATTATTTTAATTCATGCAATTTAAGGTTACTAAAGATCAGGTATGATAATGAACTTTATGCATTCCTCAAAACTTGTCTAAGTAATTTAAAATAACTAACTTAATTGTTAGTACATGAATTTTTATGAATTAGTTAAATAGAAAAATAGCAACATTAAAGCAGGTTTTGATAAAGAAATTAGGTTATCACTGAGTGCTCTTCTTTGGATATAAAATAAATCTAGAGTAACTCTAGAATTAGATTTTTCTCTGTTCGTTTCTTATTTCTCAACTTCCGCAGACTTGAGAAATCGATGAAAGAAGATTCCAAAAAAGAACTTTTTCCTTCTCTTCCATCTGCCACCAGCAACACATTTACAAGACATTATAACTTCTGGATTCAGGAAGTGATACTGCTTCTACTCTTACAATGCGGAAAGACACAAATCTAACAAAAAAAGGGAGGGAACAAAATTTGATGGGAACTTGTACGTGCCTCTTACATTTTCGATCTAAAAATCCATGGGGAAAAGTGCTACCATCCAATATCGAAATAAGTGCGAATCTTGAATTTTACAAATTAAAATGAATTCAAAAATGTTTTCCGAGTAAACGAACACGAAAGGTTTTCCAAGGTTTTTTTTAAAAAAAAGTGCATTAATCATAATACATTAGGTTTCTTCTAAAATTTAGGTAGTGACTCCACTCTCTGAAATTACATTCTTGGATTACGGTCCAGTATTCTTGTCTGAAAGTGATCCAGACACTGCGCGTGAGAATAAATTTATGCTCCTAAATTTACCATAACCATAAAAGTACAGGTCTGCCCGTAAAGTTCTTCTCACAAAACTCATAGCCATAGACCGTAATTCATGCTCCAAAAAGTTATGTTAATTCCGAGTCTTCACGTTGTTTGAGATTCCAGTGATTTGTTTGTTGAATAATGCCGCACCTTGGAGAGAAATGAAATAGTGTAAAGTGCTGTCATCTACTGTTGATAAAGAAGTTGCTTCTTCGTTAGTCGTGATAACCAACATAGAGGGAGTTCATAGTTTGAGGCTATAATCACTGTGGAGTACACAGTGAATTGAGTTAGAAAGCTTTAAGTAATTACCATATAAATTAATAGTCAACTCTACTAATTTAATTAAAGTGCTTAATAATTACTGAGTGCTTTATATAACGGAGCTTTTTTTTCCGTAGAACGAAAGAGGAGGTAGCCGTATAAATCAACTGCCAAACCTTAGAATTTTTTTAGAGTGCACTTAAAAAAAGGAATATTTAAAAAACAAATGTATTATTTATTTATTTTAATTTCATGTGTGTTCATTTCTCTAAGTCGCAAAATGGTTGAAAGATCGATTTCCTAAAAAAATTATATGTGCTGGTAGCAGTGAAGCAACAATTGAAATTTGATTTCTCTTCTGACAAAAAAGTTTTGGTAGAAATTTGAGGACTCAAGTTAGTTGGAAAGTAATTAAAATTTCGAATGTCCATAGATTCTTAAATTGTAAAAACGAATTCGAATCAAAGCTCCAATTGAAATTTGAGCCTTCTGTCTATAGTCAAAAAGTTGTTGAAGTTTCGTAAGCAAGTTCACAAATCCTCACGAATAGACATTCAAATAATCTTTAAAGTTTAAAAAAAAGAAAAAAAAGAATTCGAGTTAAAGTTCCAGATCATATTATATTATTTTAATCCATCTCAATTCAAGAACCTATCAAATAAAAAAGAAGTCTGTCAATCATAACTAATGCAGCTTTGCCACTCTAAACCTTATTTCAGTCATTGAAATTGAATATTAAAAAAAAAATTATTATACTAAATTTAAANTGTTGATTAATAAATAAGATTCAATAAAAGTAAACAATAAATTAAAATTCATAATTATAACCTCTTCCTACACTGCCATCTATCATCAGTTTTCAGAACTCAGTAGTTGAGACTAAGATTTCATTCGTTTAAGACTCGTATGCCACCACTTTCCCTTTCTTATTTTGTTATTTGCACCACATAATAATTTTATTTTAATTGATCTCAATCTAAAAACATAGATCTATCTAATAAATAACAAGTCTGTCAATAATAACTAATGTAGCCTTGGCATTCTTAACCATACCTCAGTCATTAAAATTGAATAAAAAATTCTGAATCTTAATAAAAAAATATTTGTTTTTAACAGTTCTTTTTTTGTAATAAATTATGTTTATGTTATAAAATTATGAATGCATTTATTCCCCCCCCCCAAAAAAAAAAATCTTTGCCCTAAATAAGAATTGTTGATTAATAAAAAATATTCAATAAAAGTAAACAATAAATTAAAATTCATAATTATTTTATTTCAATTGATCTCAATTCAAAAACATAGATCTATCTAATAAATAAGAAGTCTGTCAATAATAACTAATGCAGCTTTGGCATTCTTAACCATACCGCAGTCATTAAAATTGAATAAAAAGTTCTGAATCTTAATAAAAAAATATTTGTTTTCAACAGTTCTTTTTTTTGTAATAAATTATGTTTTACGGACATAAAATTATGAATGCCTTTATTTCCCCCCAAAAAATCTTTTGCCCTAAATAAGATTTGTTGATTAATAAAAATATTCAATAAAAGTAAACAATAAATTAAAATTCATAATTATTTTATTTTAATTGATCTCAATTCAAATACATAGATCTATCTAATAAGTAAGAAGTCTTTTTAAAAAAATAATTAATGCAGTTTTGCCGTTCTTAACCTAATCTCAATCATTGAAATTGAATTAAAACTTCTAATTTTTTTAAAAATATATTTTTTTTTGCAGTTTTCTTATTTCTTTTTAAATAATTAAGTCTTAACGGACATCAAATTATGAATGCATTTGATTCACCGTTACAGTTAAATTAATGTAAACAATAAATTGAAATTCATAAGCGTATTATTTTAATAAATCTCAATTCATATACATGGATGTATCCAATAAAAAAGAAGTCTGTCAATAATAGCTAATGCAGTTTTGCCATTCTAAACCTTATCTCAGTCATTAAAATCGAACTAAAAATTCTAATTTTTTAAAAAAAAATATTTGTTTTTAACAATTTTTCTTCTTTTTTTTAATGAATTATGATTTAACTGATATAAAATTGTTTTAACTGAATGCCTTTATTTCCCCCCAATAAATCTTTGCTTTAAGTAAGATTTGTTGATTATTAAATAAGATTCAATAAATGTAAACAATAAATTTAAATTCATAATTCTATTAATTGATCTCAATTCAAATACGTAGATCTATCAAAACAAGAAGTCTATCAAAAATAACTAACGCAGCTTTGCAAATCTTAAGCTTATCTCAATCATTGAAATTGAATTAAAACTTCTAAATTTTTAAAAAATATTTTTATACAATTCTCTCTTCTCCATTTAATAAATTATGCTTCGACTGAGATCAAATTATGAATTCTTTTATTTCAACAACGCATATTCCAGTTAAATAAATGCAAACCATAAATTAAATTTCCTAATCATTTTATTTTAATTCATCTCAATTCAAGTACTTACGGGTCGATCTATCAAAAAAAATGTATATATAACTAAATAAACAAAAATATAAGCAGCATTTCTTCCATCTATAGCAGCTGATGCAGCTTAGCTCATTGCAGCTGAGCTTTTTGCAGCTCAGTCATTGAAATTCAATTCTCCCGATTTGCTCTTTCTGGTGAAGTTCAGAATCAGGTCAGTAGTACAAGAAGCCGGTTTCCCGTTCAATACATCTCTCTCCCGTTTTCCGGATCTCAACACATTAAACAAAACCTACGAACGTATGCAATGTGAAATGCAATTTTGAATCTTACCTGTTATTGTTGTCATTTTCATCTGTAAAGGGTAAAGTCATCAGTTTTCTCATGTATAAACTCATAGTTTTTAAGAGTTATTTCCCACCTTATTTTTCCAGAAATAATAATCCGTTCGATAGTCGTTGCTATGGCGGGAGCAAGAAAGGCTTCATTCGGGATCTGCCACCCTTCTATCCCCCCACTACTGTTACTAGGGCATCATCTTTCTTGCTTTCAATAACTTTCAAATATTTCTTGTTCTTTATGTTTGAGTAGTGTTTAAAGAAAATATTCCACCCGATCACATTCATTTCATAATATTTTTTTTTAAGTCGAAGGTTTTTTTTACTATTATTTATTCATTTTTTATTAAAATGGTTATGCAACTCTTTCCTTTTATTTGAGAGCTGTGCGAAAAATTTTGGTAAAAAAAAATTCACTAACTTTCAAAAATTTCTTATTATTTAATGTTTAAGAAGTATTTAAAATAAATATTCCAAACGATCAGATTCGATTCGGAATATTATTTTTTTTTTTAAACTTTTTTTTTGTTTATTTTTTATTAAAAAAATCGAAGGTTTTTATTATTATTATTATTATTATTTTACTAAAATGACTATGCAACTCTTTCCTTTTATTTGAAAATTATACAAAATATTCTGGTAACAAAATTCACTAACTTTCAAAAATTTCTTATTATTTAATGTTTAAGAAGTATTTAAAATAAATATTCCAGACGATCAGATTCGATTCGGAATATTCTTTTTTTTTTTTTTTTAAACTTTTTTTTGTTTATTTTTTATTTAAAAATTGAAAGTTTTTATTATTATTATTATTATTTTATTAAAATGGCTATGCAACTCTTTCCTTTTATTTGAAAATTATAAAAAATATTCTGGTAACAAAATTCACTAACTTTCAAAAATTTCTTATTATTTAATGTTTAAGAAGTATTTAAAGTAAATATTCCAGACGATCAGATTCGATTCGGAATATTCTTTTTTTCTTTTTTTTAAACTTTTTTTTGTTTATTTTTTATTTAAAAATTGAAAGTTTTTATTATTATTATTATTATTTTATTAAAATGGCTATGCAACTCTTTCCTTTTATTTGAAAATTATTCAAAATATTCTGGTAACAAAATTCACTAACTTTCAAAAATTTCTTATTATTTAATGTTTAAGAAGTATTTAAAGTAAATATTCTAGGCGATCAGATTCATTTCGGAATATTCGTTTTCTTTTTTAAACTTTTTTTTGTTTATTTTTTATTTAAAAATCGAAAGTTTTTATTATTATTATTTTATTAAAATGGCTATGCAACTCTTTCCTTTTATTTGAAAATTATACAAAATATTGTGGTAAAAAAATTCCCTAACTTTCAAAAATTTCTTATTATTTAATGTTTAAGAAGTATTTAAAGTAAATATTCCAGACGATCAGATTTATTTCGGAATATTCTTTTCTTTATTTTTAACTTGGTTTTTTTGTTTGTTTGTTTTCATTTAAAAATCGAAGGTTTTTATTATTATTATTATTATTTTATTAAAATGGCTATGCAACTCTTTCCCTTTATTTGAAAATTATACGAAATATTCTGGTAAAAAAATTCACTAACTTACGAAAATTTCTTCTTAATTAATGTTTGAGAATTACTTAAAGAAAATTTCCCACCCGATCAGATTCTTTCTGGAATATATTTTTTTTTGAAAAATCGAAAGTTTTTTTTACTATTATTTATATATTTATTTATTATTAAAATGGTTATGCAACTCTTTCCTTTTATATGAGAATTGTGGAAAAAAAATTCTGGTTAAACAACTCACTAACTTTTAAAAAATTTCTTATTATTTAATGCTTGAGAAGTATTTTAAGAAAATATACCAGCCGATCAGGTTCATTCCGGAATATTCTTAAAAAGACTATTTTTTTTATTATTTATTTATTTATTTATTTTTATTAAAATGGCTATACAACTCTTTAGTTTTTTTTGCGAATAGTGCGAAAAATTCTGGTAAAAAAAATTCACTTACTTTCAAAAATTTCTAATTATTTAATGCTTGAAAGTATTTATAGAAAATACTTCAACCTATCAGATTCATTCCAGAATATTATCTTTTTTTCTTAAAAATTTTAAATTTTTATTATTATTACTACTTTTCGTTTTTTATTTAATTGACTGAGTAACTCTTTCTTTTTATGAAAGAATTATGCGAATTATTCAGGTAAAAAAATTCACAATCTTTCAAAAATTTCTTATAATTCAATGTCTGAGAAGTATTTAAAGTTAAGATTCCAGCCTATCAGATTCATTCCGGAGTATTCTTTTTCCTTTTTTTAAAATTGAAGATTTTTTATTTATTTATTTTTCAATAAAATGGCTATGCAACTCTTTCCTTTTATTTGAGAGTTGCGTGAAATATTATGGTAAAGAAAAAAAACTAACTTTCAAAAATTTCTTCTTATTATTTAATGTTTGAGAAGTATTTAAATAAAATATTCCTTTATCAGAATATTTTGTACAATTCGTGAATAAAAGAAAAGAGTTGTATACTCATTTTTAAAAAAAAATATTAAAATAATAATACTAAAAAAAACCTTCGATTTTTTTTTAAGAAAAGGATATTCTGGAACGAATCTGATCGGGTGAAATATTTTTTTACATACTTCTCAAACATTAAATAATAAAATATTTTTGAAAGCTAGTGAATTTTTTTACCAGAATATGTCGCACAATTCTCAAATAAAAGGAAAGAGTTGCATAGCCATTTTAATAAAAAATAAATAAATAATAATAAAAAAATAGATTTTTTTTAACGAAAATATATTTTTATTATATTTTTTAACTCATTGTTATTTATTTATTTTTTACTAAAATGCTATGCTAAAATCCTTTTATTTGAGAACTGTGTAAAATGTTCCGTTAAAAAAAATTCGTTCATTTTGGAAAACAATCTTTTTATTTACTTGGGCACTCCGGTCACCAACCCCCGTGATCGTTTTGCTTTCATCAATATTTTTTTTCTTAAAAGTTAATTAAAAAAAGGTAAATTGGTTTATAAAACATGTTGTTATAATTATTTTATGTAAGCACATTTTATTTATACGCTAAGCGTAACGAAATGAGCGAATACCTAGATTTTAAAAATAATCAACTGCACTTGGAAAAAAATTATTTAAACTTAGTAACACAGAATTAACGATACATTAAGAATTAACAAATGAATTTACTTGTTTACGATACATAATGATAACTTTTTATCATATTGCTCTTTAAATTGGAAATAAAAATCCCCTTAGGTCTATCAATTACATTTTTACAAATTTAGATATTAATGTTAAGATTTACATCCACCAACATCTATTCTCTCACTTTTTATTACTCTTAATCTTCCTTTCTTACTTTTGACATCAATTCAAAAGCGATCTTATAAAATGAAGATATCGAGAGAGATAAATTTTTTTTCAACAGTGGATAGATAGTCATTATGTAAAGCAAAAAAGGCGTGAAATAATTCACATAGGATGCAATTACACCGGTATAAGAAATTAAGAGAATTTGCAGAAATTAAGAAAATTTGCATTTTCTAAACCTAGTTTGAATATTCATGAAGATTCTGGCATTTTAATTAAAAGTTAAGTTCTTTGGCTTACGTTTTCTTACCACAACTGTAGAATATTCAGTAAAATTAAACAAAATTGTTAGAGTGATTTTTTAATTAATAATAAAAAATATCATTAGAAATTTTAAAAGCAATTCGTTAAAAATTGCGCAAGATATGAGTATTTAAAGATATTCTCATATTGCTCATGACCGGAAAACATTTAAAAAAATTTTTTTCCATAATTTTGTATTGAATTTTAATAACTCCTAACTGAAAAAAGTACATATTCTTCATGTTTGTCAAATCCTTGTACATTGCATTTGTCTACATTTGAAATCTTTTTCACTATTTGAATGATATAGAGTAAAAAAAAAAATATTTTTTTTCTTTCTTTATTTCTAGTGATCGAGAGCTTGACAAAATGCAACGAGTAAAAACAAAAAACATAACTATGAACAATAAAATAATAATAAAAGAAGTCTTCTCGAAAGACAAAGGTAATTTCCTCTGCAGTATTAAATAGGGTTCGGAAATACACCAATTTAAAAAAGATGTCTACTCATATAGTCATGTTGAGTATATGAGCAATTCTACAAAAAAACGCCAATTAGGCGGCCAAAAAAAAAATTTTTTTTTGGGGGGGGGGGAGCATGCTATTTCTACATGAATTTTCTTCCTTTTTGCACCCTAAAAAAGCAAGAAAAAATCGTGAGGATGAAATTTTTTCTTTGTGACATACTTTAAATGACAAAATACCAATTTTAAATTTTTCCCGATTTTTTCAATTTACGAACTTTGATTCAATTCTTTTATTTTTGTTTTTTATACTAAAATATAATCTTTTGGTATGAAATCTTTATAAATACATTTTAGAGAGACATTATAATAATATTATATTTATGTAAAAATCGTTCTATCTGAATAAATGGCTCAGATAAAAGCCTCGTTTAAAAAAAAAGAAATTTATGACAGATTTTTTACATCTAAGTAATTAATATGTTTGTTGCTGTCGTTGCTTGTTGTCTTTGATGGCTATAGAGGAAATAGTTTAAATTTTCTGCGCGCCACTAGCTAATTTAATTTGTTTTTAATTTTTTTTTTTAAATATGCTTCATTTTTAATTTAAAATTGGTATTTTGGCATTTAAAGTATCTCACAAAGAAAAAATTTCATGTTCACGATTTTTTCTTGCTTTTTTAGGGTGTAAAAAAGAAGAAAATTCATGTAGAAATAGAGCGCCCCCCCAACCCCAAAAATTTTTTTCTTTGCCCGCCTAATTGGCGTTTATTTGTAGAATTACTCATATAACAGATTACTTAATATAGATCGTTGGTTCAAATTAATTAACACAAGACATCATTTTTAAAACAAAACAAACTTTCATATGATATGATGATAGGTAAAGGCTGACGTTTCCTTTTCAACTTAAGCTTTGCATTCTTCGAATTACAAAATCGTAACAACATACAAAAAAAAATGTGTAAAGGAATTCATAGGAGAGCGCCATCTGGTGGCTTTCCGCAACAGAGTACAGTACACTCTCGATTATC